TGAATTAAAATAAAGGTACTATGCAAAGATATACAGAAATAACCACCCCTCCACCCCAAAAAAGCTTCTGACAACTTGAAAGCATACAAATAAGAATTAAGTAAAATTTTACTTTTTTCAAAACTTCCCTTTTAAATTTCAAAGACTACATATAAAGATATAATGAAACATATCTCTCACTTAAGAAAACCCTAAGTCACCACACACAGCCCAGTACATCTAGAAACTTATCTTAATCTCAATAAATTGGAAAGAAGTTAGTCTTGCATGAGGGTGAAATCTACTTCATTTACAGCACTAAACAATAGCTGTGGATATGTGAGGCAATTCTTTTCTTACTCTGTATTACAACTCATTATAAAATGATCAGTGTTGGGCTTCCCTGGTGGCGCAGTGGTTGAGAGTCCGCCTGCCCTGCCGATGCAGGCGACGCGGGTTTGTGCCCCGGTCCGGGAGGATCCCACGTGCCGCGGAGCGGCTGGGCCTGTGAGCCATGGCCGCTGGGCCTGCGCGTCCAGAGCCTGTGCTCCGCAACGGGAGAGGCCACAGCAGTGAGAGGCCCACGTACCGCAAAAAAAAAAAAAAAAAAGGATCAGTGTTTTATTTAGTTTATCATATTTTAGCTTAAAATAAGAAAATAATTATGTATGTTTAAAATCAAGTTCTTCAGATGACAAATTTTCCATGAAAACTTATTCTGATGACTTTCAGAAGATGTTAAGAGATATAAAAGGTACAGTTGGAATAACTTCCTCTAAAAATAATGAAACCTGAAACTAGCATGAAGAGGTACTGGTCTAAGACTGTAATGAAGTCCCATGTTTGTACACACTGGTATCTTTACCTAGGACTTGGACAGAAAACTAAAACTAAAAGATTAATAATGGGAGAGGGAGGGAAGGAGAGACAGAGAGAGAAAGAGTGGTTGTAACAATTCATGTTATATGCTAATAGTACATACATCTATTGTCATGCTATAGCAAATTTTCTGAACTCATTTAACACTAGCCCAAATATCCACCATCCTTTTTGTGTTTTCCTTTTTCTCTTTCTGATCTTTATAAATTGGAGCTCCTTTTTAGAAATACAAATGTAAAATGCCACTTTAACAAATGTAGCCTCTAGCACCAAGCCACTCACACTTAGTCCTGTGATGTTAATAAATGAGAATTCCTTTTCCTAAATATTCAAATGAACAATTTTCTATCTTGATTTATAAAAAAAAAAAATTCAACCAATACTCTCTTAAGAAAGCAAAACAGTTTCCATTTATTAAAGGTTATATCTGATATCTATGCCACACAATACAGTATCATTATATGTAGTTGAACAGCAAACAAATACTGGTATTTCATGTCCAGAAGAAGTCAGATGCAAGACAAGGGGCAGGGAATGAACCTTAAATTTCTAGCCTAATCTCAAGCATTTAAACTATGATTTTTAAAAATTGTTTTCCAATTAACTTACAAGCCTTCTAATTAGGTAGGGATCTATACAGCATTTTCATAAGAACCACAGGAATTATAGAAGAACTTCAAGAATTAATGAGGATAAGAAATCCTTTCACAGTACATGAAAGAAACCTTTCCCATAGCAACATCAAAGGAAAAAGATGGCCTAAAATAATGGACTTTTTTCTATTGAGTTGATTATCTAGGCATAATGGGTTGACAAAGGATTGACCTCTGTCACTGGGCTTGTTAGAAAGGGCTTGGATAAAGAAAATGATATGTTAATGAAATCAGGTGAGTGATGGAGGAATCACCCTCATACATACATACACTTACGTTTTTGAGACAACATGTAACACACACACACACACACACACAAATTCTACCCTTCCTTAAATATATCAGATAAGCCTCTCACTTTTTCATTATTTCAGTTATAATACAGAGAAACAGGATTTTCCAAACCAATGGACAGGAAAAAAAATTGGGCTTTTAGAAATATTTCTGCTGAAACTTATTAGAATTCCCACCTCTACTAGAGAATTTGGTGAACAGGATAGTGAGGGAGGTTTATGAAGAGACTCTTGCCAACTCCACTTGTGTTCCAGGGATGTTAAAAACAGAATTTAAAAAAATGTACCTGAATGCTTGTCATTACTTAGGGAATCAGAAACGTTCAAGAGGGTCCAAAACTTAAGACCGTAATGTGGACTTTTGAGAGTGTCTTAAGTTAAATTAAGGAAGGTACTTAAAGAAGTGCTGATGCTATGGTAGCTAAAGAAGTTTTTTCATTTTAAAATGTCAATAATGTGACTAAAACACCTCAGTATTAAATATCTTATATGTCCTATTCAGGCTCAGTCTATTCTGAAAACTCTTTGTTTTTCAAAGCATAAAAATATGTCATATATGTAGGGGGAAAGGAATTCAAAATCACATCCAACAAATGAACGTGAGAAAAATAATTAACTCATAGAGCCAAGAAACAAATGTGAGGAAAAATCCAATACTAAACCAAAAAAACAAATCAAATTTTACAGGTCTGTCAGAAAACATTAATAAAGTTAAAATAACAAAGGAAAAGGATGACTGCAAACCTTACTTTTTATTTACTGCCTTGAACGTTCATAATATTATTCCACTTTTTACAAGAAAGCCTAGTTGGAATCTGTGCTTCAATCCTCAACTAATATTACTATAAAAACAATCTTTGACAAAAAATTGAATGCTTTCCCTCTAAGATCAGGAACAAGGCAAGGATGTCTGTTCTCACCATTTCTAATCAACTTTGTACTGTAGGTTTTAGCCAGTGCACTAAAGCAAGAAAAAGCAATAAAAGGTATCAATATCAAGATCAGAAAGTAAAAAGAAAACTGCCTCTTAGTAGATGACATAATCATTTATGTAGAAAATCCTATGAAATCTACAAAAAAGCTACTAGAATTACTAATTGAGTATAGTAAAGTTGTAGGATTTAAAGTCAACACACAAAATTTAATCGTCTTTTTATGTACTAGCAAAACAATCGTAAAATGAAATAAAAAATACTTTTAAAATAGCATCACAAATATAAAATATTTACAGATAAATTTACTTTTAAATGTGCAAGACCAACACACTGAAACAATGGAATACTGCTAAGAGACACTAAAGATCTAAATAAATGGAGAAATATGTGGCTTTGATGAATTGTAAGATTCAATACTGTTATGATGTCATTTCTCTTCAAATTGATCTCCAGATTCAATGTGATCCAAATCAAAATTCCAGCAGGTATTTTTACAGAAATTGACAAGATGATTCTAACATTCACGTGGAAATTAAAGGAACCCAGAGTAGTCTAAACAACTTTGAAAAAGAACAAAGTTGCAGGATTTACATTACCTGACTTCATGACTTATTCTAAAGCTACAAAAATCAAGACAGTGCGATATTGGTGGAGGGACAGATACATAGGTCAATGGAACAGAATAAAGAGCTCAGAAATAGATTCACACACATATGGTGAATTGATTTTCAACTAAGATGCAAAGGCACTTCAATGGTGGAAAGGATACCCTTTTTAACAAATGGTTTCGGAACAACTGGATATCCACGGGCCAAAAAAAGGTTGGGGTGTAGGGGGACAACATTCCTCTATGCCTTGAAACTTGCATCATATACAAAAATTAACTCCACTGGATAATAAAGTTAAATGTAAAACCTAGAACTATAAAGATTCTAGAAGAATACATAGGAGAATAATCTTTTAGCCTTTGGACTAGGCAAATATTTCTTAGATCAACACTAAAAGCAAGAACCATGAAAAAAAACTAATAAACTGAACTTCACCAACATTAAGAATTTTTGCTCTCTGAGGATCCTGTTAAGAGAAATCCCATATCTGATAAAGGGCTTACATCCAGGAGATAGATAAAGAATGCTCAAAACTCAATGGCAAGAAAACAAAAAACCCAATTAAAAAATGGCAAGTTTTGAACACACACTTCACTAGAGACGTACAGATGGCAAATAAGTACATGGGAAGATGCTCAACATTATTAGTCATTACAGAAACGCAAATTAAAACTCCAATGAAATACTATATACCTATAAGAATGATTAAACTTAAAAAGACTGACCATACCAAATGTTGATGATGATATGGAGGAACTGGCACTCACCCTGCTGGTGGGGAAATAGTTTGGTAGTTTCTTAAAAAGTTAAAACATACAACTGCCATTTAACTCAGCCATTTTGGTCTTAGGTATTTACCCAAGAGAAATGAAAATATATGTCCATACAGAGACTTGTACACAAATATTCACAGCAGCTTTATTTATAATAGTCAAAAAGCAGAAACAACCCAAATGTCTCTCAACGTGTGAAAAGATAAAGAAACTGTGCTAAAACCATATAATGAAATACTACTCAGCAATAAAAAACAATGAACTACTGAAGTGTAACAACATGGGTGAATCTCAAAATAATAACACTGAATGAAAGAAGCTAAAAGAGAGAGAGAAAGAAATACAGTATGATCCATTTATATAAAATTCTGGAAAGTGCAAATTAATCTATAATGATTAGATCAGTGGTCACCTGGGGACTGAAAAAGAAAAAGGAAGGGCAGGACGGGGGAGTTCAAAGGGGCACAAGGAAACTTTTAGGGGTGATGGATATGTTCATTACCTTGATTGTGGTGATGGTTTCACAAGGGTATGTCAAATTGTACAGTTTAAATATGTATATTTTACTGTATGCCTATTATACCTCAATAAAGCTGTCAAAAAATTCTATTGGTAAAAAGGGTAATGTGGCTCTAAATTGTACTCTTCTTAACTAATCACTGAAGTGCAATGGTCAAAATTAACGCTACTAAGGGCAAGATTATTAAACTAATTGATTCACTGAAAAACTGAATTACTTTTTCATCAGAGATATGCAAAAAAAATGAAATTAATAATTCACATTCCCAAATTTTTGTGATAGTTATTTGCAGGGTTTTGGTGGGTTCTGGACGAGTGAACTGTATCTAGGGAAAATATACTAGAAAATGAACAACCATACCTTGATTTGTGCAAAGGGTCTTTCATAACCTCCAACATAGAGAAGGCCAACATTCTGAGGAAGTAACCTACAAAGGAAAAAAAAGCATTATTTATAAAATACTCTTCCTTAAATATGAGGTTGTATAATTACCAAAATTTGTATAATAGATCCTGACTATGAAAAAATTAATACCTATGCAATTATTCTTGTCTTTTTGCATGATGGAATAGTAACCAGCAAAGGAATAATTCTTATACTTCAGAAAATGATGGGTAAATATTGAGAATGGCAACTTAAATGTAAAACAGTCTAACATACTAGTAATTCTAGCAAAATTACTACACAGGTGAGAATTAAAAGAAGCAATGCATATATTTAAAAATCTATAAAAGTTCAATTCAAGAAACACTCACTGTGTGTCTATACTATGCACTATGGAGATAATACAAACCTAAACAGTTCAGTCCCAAAATTTAACAGGAGAACCAGATACACAATTAACCTTAACAAAAGGTGGCCTCTGATAAATGCTATTCTAGAGGTATTTGCCATTGCAAAGTAGTGGGGTGAGAGATACCTTCTATGGAGGGAGCTGGAGAAGCCTGAAGAGGAATTTAGGCTTAACTTTTAAAGGGTTGGTAAGGCAAAGGGAGAAATTTTAAACTACATCCTGAGAATGCAGAAGATTTGAAACCAAAAGTAAAGAAGTCTGGCTGAAGTAAGGGATAAGTTAGTCAGAGATGAAAACCCGAAGAAGGTTTGGAATGGGCCATGAAGAACGTCAAATGTCTTATCTTTATTTCATAAGTAATATTTATTTTTTTGTACAGACAATAAATGCACATGAAAATAAAAATCAAACCATCTAGAGGGTGGAGGCAAAATGGTTACCTTCCCTGCATCATTCCTTCCTTCCTATTTAAAGAGGGCTATCATTCTTGACTACATTGAAACACTGTGAATAAGGAAATACCATCATTAGAACTATGCTTGTGGAGCATGTAGTCCTGCTGGGTATGAGAAGGTCATAATTAAATTAATTACTCTACGGTATCTTGTAATCACTGTCACCGGGTGACAGTGTGAGATGGTTGTATGATTACTGAAGGGGAGAATACACCAACCCAAAATACACCACTTTGACGTGTGGATTATTTTAAGCTGAAGGCAATCAAGACCCAGGAGACTCAGGAAAACTTTTTACCTCTCTCGTAACTGCCTAAAAGAACTTAGATAGGGGGCCTGGCCCAGAAAGAGAGCTATTACCACAGATAATGCTTTTATCTGAAAGATCAATCTGCATGGCAGGGCAAACTTCTAAATACAAAACATCTGTTCTTCTCATCATCCTGTGAGTTACCCTCCTCCCCTTTGAAGACCCAGGCCCTTATCCCATTCCTTAGCACAGGATGGCACATAAGCCTCAACTGCTCAACCTACCCTTGAGTCTTGTATCTTTGGGGATCCCATACATACTAACTTAAATATGTTTTTCTCCTGTTAATCTGTCCTATGTCAATTTAATTATTAGACCAAAGAACCTAGAAGAAAAGAAGGGGAAATTTTTCTACCCCTACTTAACCTTCCACTGACTTGGTCTAGTAAGACTAATAAAGTTCACTGCTAAAGCACCTTAGATTTTATGAAATAAGGTAGATAAATATTCCATCTCCTAGGAACACCTCTGTTCCCTACATTCTTTAAAGGCCTATAAAGTACTGAAGGCCACTAAAGGAAAGCTAATAGCTGACAAACACAATAATAAATTAAACCAATTTAGCAAAAAGCTACAGTACTTAAGTTTGGCATGTGAGTGATACTTACAGTTATGCCTTTTAGCATGTTGTTGAAGGTTACAAACATGACTAAAGGGATATTTGTTCACTGGATGCAAGTAGAAAGCATAAGAAATGTCCCCAAATCTCAACTAGGAAATTGAGAATTTCTTCACCATCATTTGACAAATAAGAAATTAATCAAAGCAACAAAACTTTAAATCTCTCACAAATTGCTAGTATCACAAATTTAATGTTAGTTTTATATAGCAGTGGTAATTTATTTCCTATATAACAAATGATGACAAAAAGCTTCATAAACCTCTTTTAGAAGTAAGAATAGTCACTGTTCATACAAATACATGATAGAAAAGGAAGAGAATAAAAGCTGGCTGACATTTAAAAACCAATATGCCTCTAATTACTAGGCATATGCATTTTAGGAAGCTTGCCAATATACTATTCAGTGTGTCCTCCCCTTCCTCCAACTTGCCTATATAATAACTACCTTCTAAACAAGAAATATCTTAAATATGGTAGTTACACAGCATATATATGTTTCGCTTTTTAAATACTGTTCTTTCTCATTCATGTCCGTATTATTCCTTACATAAATTACATTACCACCTTCGTTTGAGTGGGTTTTAATAGGTATCATAATTTAAGCGTTTGCTATGTGTAAAATAATAAATACTTTGAGAACATAAATTCCAACTTCTAAGATGGAACATTTCCTAAAATGCTTTTACCTTTCAAAAAATTATGCCAAATTGTATACATAATTATTGTCAAACAATAGGCACCATTTTATTATGACAGGGTATTTGTATATAATATAGCATTCACACATTTTAAATCCCCAGGGTACAGGCATTAATTCAGCATTTACAGATGCATTATAAATATATGTTAAAATAAAAAGCATATGTTAAAATAAAAACCACAACGCATTTAGTACCAGATAATTGTTTTGTCCTTCTATTAGGTGAACATTAATATAACCTTTATACAAATGCTAATAACTTCCAAAAAATTTGCTTGTAACTAAATGCTTCTATAGTGTGGTTACCAAAGAAATTTTTAGAGTAAGAAGGCATTGCTGAGAAAAAGCTAAGAGAATTCAGCACCACTAAACCAGCGTTACAACAAATGCTAAAGGAACTTCTCTAGGCAGGAAACACAAGAGAAGGAAAAGACCTATAAAAACAAATCCAAAACGATTAAGTAAATGGTAATAGGAACATACATATCGATAACTACCTTAAATGTAAATGGATTAAATACTCCAACCAAAAGGCATAGACTGGCTGAATGGATACAAAAACAAGACCCGTATATAAGCTGTCTACAAGAGACCCACGTCAGACGTAGGGACACATACAGACTGAAGGTGAGGGGATGGAAAAAGATATTCCATGCAAATGGAAACCAAAAGAAAGCTAGAGTAGCAATTCTCATATCAGACAAAATAGACTTTAAAACAAAGACTTTACAAGGGACAAAGAAGGACACTACATAATGATCAAGGGATCAATCCAAGAAGAAGATATAAGGATTGTAAATATTTATGCACCAAACATAGGAGCACCTCAATACATAAGGCAAATGCTAACAGCCATAAAAGAGGAGATCCACAGTAACACAATCATAGTAGGGGACTTTAACACCCCACTTTCACCAATGGACAGATCATCCAAAATGAAATAAATAAGGAAACACAAGCTTTAAATGATACATTAAACAAGATGGACTTAATTGATATTTATAGGACATTCCATCCAAAAACAACAGAATACACATTTTTCTCAAGTGCTCGTGGAACATTTTCCAGGATAGATCATATCTTGGGTTACAAATCTAGCCTTGGTAAATTTAAGAAAATAGAAATCGTATCAAGTATCTTTTCGACCACAACACTATGAGACTAGATATCAATTACAGGAAAAGATCTGTAAAAAATACAAACACATGGAGGCTAAACAATTCACTACTTAATGACGAAGTGATCACTGAAGAAATCAAACAGGAAATTTAAAAATAGCTATAAACAAATGACAATGGAGACACGACGACCCAAAATGTATGGGATGCAGCAAAAGCAGTTCTAAGACAGAAGTTTATAGCAGTACAATCCTACCTCAAGAAACAAGAAACATCTCAAATAAACAACCTAACCTTACACTTAAAGGTATTGGAGAAACAAGAACAAAAAACCCCAAAGTTAGCAGAAGGAAAGAAATCATAAAGATCAGATCAGAAATAAATGAAGAAAAAAATAGCAAAGATGAATAATAAAACTAAAAGCTGGTTCTTTGAGCAGATAAACAAAATTTATAAACCATTAGCCAGACTCATCAAGAAAAAAAGGGAGAAGACTCAAATCAATAGAATTAGGAAAGAAAAAGGAGAAGAAACAACTGACACTGCAGAAATACAAAGGATCACGAGAGACTACTACAAGCAACCACATGCCAATACAATGCACAGCCTGGAAGAAAATGGACAAATTCTTGGGAAAGCACAACCTTCCAAGACTGAACCAGGAAGAGACAGAAAATATAAACAGACCAGTCATAAGCCCAGAAATTGAGGCTGTGATAAAAAAATCTTCCAACAAACAAAAGCCCAGGACCAGATGGATTCACAGGTGAATTCTATCAAACATTTAGAAGAGCTAACATCCATCCTTCTCAAACTCTTCCAAAAAATTGCAGAGGAAGGAACACGCCCAAACTCATTCTACGAGGCCACCATCACCCTGATACCAAAACCAGACAAAGATGTCACAAAGAAAGAAAACTACAGGCCAATATCACTGATGAACATAGATACAAAAATCCTCAACAAAATACTAGCAAACAGAATCCAACAGCACATTAAAAGGATCATACACCATGATCAAGTGGGGTTTATCCCAGGAATGCAAAGATTCTTCAATATATGCCAATCAATCAATGTGATAAACCATATTAACAAATTGAAGGAGAAAAACCATATGATCATCTCAATGGATACAGAAAAAGCTTTTGACAAATTCAACACCATTTACAATAAAAACCCTCCAGAAAGTGGGCATAGAGGGAACTTACCTTAACATAATAAAGGCCATATATGACAAACCCACAGCCAACATCATTCTCAATGGTGAAATACTGAAAGATCAGGAACAAGACAAGGATGTCCACTCTCATCACTATTATTCAACATAGTTTTGGAAGTCCTAGCCACAGCAATCAGAGAAGAAAAAGAAATAAAAAGAATCCAAATAGGAAAAGAAGAAGTAAAGCTGTCACTGTTTGCAGATGACATG